ACACACACACTCACACTCACACACACACACACACACACAGGTGCTTCACTCAGGACACTAGAGCACAATCGTCAAGTGTGTCTGAGGATTTGTGCTATATCACAATAATTAGAAATAAAAGGACCAAATTAATTGTTTTGTAAAGGAAACACATCGAATCATTTAACTGTTTACTACATGAAATAACTGACAAGATGATCCTGCAACTTATTTTCCTGGTTTCTTTTTCCGGAAAAGAGAAGATTCGCTGGATTTATGCTTTAATGGACCAATAGAAAAGAAAACTGAGGGATATTCTGAAACGGGGAGATTTTATTTAGGCTTTTTATGATGTTTTCTGTGATGTTTTGTAAGTGTCTGATGGATATGAAGAGTATGCTGTTATGGAGAATCTCACTGAAACTGTTAAGAACATTTTCAGGTCAGATTTTTATTGAAACTTGTTTCTGCCACGGGATAAAAAATAAAAAAAGGTAATTGTGACTCTCAATTCTGACTTTTCTTCTCAAAATTTGTAGTTTATATCACACAATTCAGCATTATGTCTCACAACTCTGAGTTTATATCACGAAATTTTGCATTTATATCTTGCAATTCTGCACTTATATCTTATTCTGTTTATATCGCTATTCTGAGTTTATATTGCACAATTCTGCATTTAAAAATCTGAGTTTATATTTCACCATTCTGAATTGCAAGAAAAAAGTCTAAATTGTGAGACAAACTCAGAACTGCGAAAAATAGTCACAATTACTTTTTTTTATCCCGAGGAAACAAGCTTCCATAGATTTCATCACTGAAATTAAAAGAAAAAATATTTTGCATTAAGAAAAATAAAAACAAAACAATCATGTAATAGAGCAATTGGGAATTATCCAGATGCATTATGGAAGGGAAAGTTTTCATATCTAAAAATATGCTTCATTTTTTTCTTTTTGTTATCAAGGTCATATGTGTCCTAGATGTATTTTCATGAGATTTACATTTTTTATTTGGATGATGTTAATGTAATTTTTTTGCATTTTGCATGTTTAAATATGACATTTTAACCTTCTGTTTTTAAAGGTAGTCCGTTATTTGTCTTTACACTAGTCTTTGCTCACCAAAAATCCCTGAGGAAACACATTGCATGTTAATAAGTGAGGAGAAGCGCTGGACTCTTTGTTAACCTTTAAAAACTGACGCACACTTCCGGCTGCTGCATGGATGGTGAAAGTTGCCTTAACACGTGGCTGTAGTGTAAATAGTGCCTGATTGCTGGGTCACAGAAGAGCGTTTACATCCTGAGAAACTGTAGAAAAAAAGGGAAGCTCAAGCACCTTTGTTCCTGTTCAGTGTGCTTCCTATTGATATGATTGATGTGTGCTGATATTCATCATATGTTGTGTGTCTGTCAGCCAAGAGTGTACTGATATATATATATATATCCAAAAAGCTAAATATTTTAGTTTTCATTTTAAACCAATAACCTGTTTGCACATACTGTATTTTATGATGACACTGTTGGTAGAAATACAGTAATTAAAAGTCATAAATATGAAAAAAACAAATGCATTACTGTTGACCCTGATCATGTGACACATGGGCTTGAAACTACATAAGGCCTTAGCTCATATAGAGCATAGACTGTGAAAAAACAACAAAAAAAGAAATATATAGTCTATAGATAGTCTTTGAAGCTGCACTGAAACTGCAATTTGGACCTTCAATCTGTTGGTCCCCATTGAAGTCCATTATATGGAGAAAACTCCTGGAATTTTTCCTCAAAAACCATAATTTCTTTGCGACTGAAGACAGAAAAACATGAACATCTTGGATTGCATGGGGGTGAGTAAATAATCAGGAAATTTTTATTCTGATAGTGAACTAATCCTATAAGTTAAAGGGGTCATATGATGTTGCTAAAAAGAACATTATGT